AGGTGAAGAAGGAGTCCTACCAAATTCTTTTTCTGACACAAAAATGTTGCTGATACTTAAACCAGGAAGAGCCAAAAGAGAGAAAGAAAATTGTAGACCAATTTCCCTAATGAATATAGATGCAAAAAAATTTTAAATAAAATATTAGCAAAGAGATTATAGCAACTCATCTCGAGGATAGTACACTACGACCAGGAAGGATTTATTTCAGGAATGCAGGGCTGGTTCAATATTAGGAAAACTATCAGGATAATTGACCATATCAACAACAAAACTAACAGAAATCATATGATTATCTCAATGGATGCAGAAAAAGCATTTGACAAAATACAACAACCATTCCTATTAAAAACACTAGAGAGCATAGGAATAAATGGAGTCTTCCTTAAAATGATAGGTAACATCTATTTAAAACCATCAGCAAGCATTATATATAATGGGGATAAGTTAGAAGCATTTCTTTTTTGGGGGGTGGGGCTAGACAATGGGGTTAAGTGACTTGCCCAGGGTCACACAGCTGATAAATGTCATGTGTCTGAGCCGGATTTGAACTCAGGTCCTCCTGAATCCAGGGCCGGTGCGCTAGCCACTGCACCACCTAGCTGCCCCTAGAAGGATTTCCAATAAGAACTGGGGTGAAACAAGGATGTCCATTATCACCACTGTTATTCAATATTGTACTAGAAATGTTAGCTTTAGCAATAAAAGAAGAAAAAAAGAAATTGAAGGAATTAGAATAGGCAAAGAAAAAACAAACCTAACACTCTTTGTAGATAATATGATGGTGTACTTAGAGAATCCTAGAGAATCAAGTAAAAAATTACTTGAAATAACAAACAAATTTAGCAAAGTTGCAAGATATAAAATAAATCCACACAAATCATCAATATTTCTATATATTACTAATAAAGCCCAACAGCAACAGATAGAAAGAAAAATTCCACTTAAAGTTAGTGTAGACATTATAAAATATTTAGGAGTCTACCTGCCAAAACACAATCAGGAACTATATGAACATAACTACAAAACACTTTTCACACAAATAAAGTCAGATCTAAATAATTGGAAAAATATCAGTTGCTGCAAAGCTAATATGATAAAAATGACAATTCTACCTAAATTAATCTACTTATTTAGTGCCATACTAATCACACTGCCAAGAATTATTTTATGGAGCCAGAAAAAAACAATAACAAAATTCATCTGGAAGAACAAAAGGTCCAAAATATCAAAAGAACTAATGAAAAGAAACACTAGGGAGGGCCTAGCTGTACCAGATCTTAAGTTGTATTATAAAGCAGCCATCATCAAAACTACTTGGTACTGTCTAAGAAATACAAGTGGTGGATCAGTGGAACAGGTTAGGTGTGCAAGACACAACAGTCAATGACTATAGTAATCTACTATTTGATAAATCCAAAGACTCCAACTTCTGGGATAAGAAATCACTATTTAACAAAAACTGCTGGGAAACCTGGAAAAGAAGATGGCAGAAACTAGGCATAGACCAACATCTTACATCCTATACCAAAATAAAGTTAAAATGGGTACATGATTTAGATATAAAGACTGATACTATAAGCAAACTAGAAAAGCAAGGAATAGTTTACCTACTAGTTCCACAGAGAAGGGAAAAACTTCTGTCCAAACAAGAGATAAAGAACATTGTGAAATGCAAAATGGATTACTTTGATTACATTAAATTGAAAAGGTTTTGCACAAACAAAGCCAATGCAATTAAGATTAGAAAGGAAGCAAAAAGCTAGGAAACAATTTTTTACAGCCAGTGTCTCTGATAAAGGCCTCATTTCTAAAATGTATAGAGAACTAAGTTGAATTTATAAGAATACAAGCCATTCCCCAATTGATAAATGGTCAAAGGATATGAACAGACAGTTTTCAGAGGAAGAAATTAAAGCTATCTATAGTCATATGAAAAAACGCTCTAAAAATACACACTAAAACAATTCTGAGGTATCACATCACACCTATCAGATTGGTTAACATGACAAAACAGGAAAATAATAAATGTTGAAGAAGATAAAAGAAAATTGGAACACTAATGCATTGTTGGTGGAGTTGTGAAATGATCCAACCATTCTGGACAGCAATTTGGAACTATGCCCAAACAGCTATAAAATTGTGCATACCCTTTGACCCAGCAATAACACTTCTAGGGCTATATCCCAAAGAGATCATAAATATGGGAAAAGGACCCACATGTACAAAAATACTTATAGTAGTTCTTTTTGTGGTGGCAAATAATTGACAATTGAGGGGATGCCCATCAATTGGGAAATTACTGAACAAGTTGTGGTATATGCATGTAATGGAATACTGTTGTGCTATAAGAAATGATGAGCAGGCTGACTTCGGAAAAACCTGGAAAGACTCATATGAACTGATGCTGAGTGAAATCAGTAGAACCAGCAGAACACTGTACACAGTAACAGCCACATTGTGGGATGATTGACTTTGATAGACTTGGCTCTTCTCAGCAATGCAATTGCTAGGACGATTCCAAAAGACTCATCATGGAAAATGCTATCCACATCCAGAGAAAGAACTATGGAGTTTGAATGCAGATGGAAGTAGACTATTTGCTCTCCTTTTCTTTTGTCGTTTTGTTTCTTCTTTCTTGTGGTTCCTCCTATTAATTCTAATTCTTCTTTACATCATGACTAATGTGAAAATATGCTTAACATGAACATATAAGTTGAGCCTAAACCAGATTGCACGCCGTCTGGAGGAGGGGAGAGGAGAGTGAGGAGGAGAAAATCTAAAACTCAAAATCTTATGGAAGTGAATGCTGAAAACTCACAATAAATTAATTCATTATTTTTAAGATGGCAACATGGACAGTGTCAGAGGAAACTGGGAAGATCTCTATGAAATGATGCAGAGCAAAGTGATCAGAATTAGGAGAACAATTTATACAGTGATAACCACATTATAGAGAAAAACAACGTGGAAAGACTTTGGAACTCTGATAAATCAATGTCAAAACATGAGGCCAAAGGACTGAAGATGAAACAAGACACTACCTCCTGCCAGGAGGGAAAGTTGAAATGCAAAAAGAGACATATGTTTCTGGATGTGGCCAGTGTGAGGAGTTTTTCTTTTTTGCCAGACTATGTATCTTTGTCACAAGGGTTTTATTTTTTGGTTAATTGTTCAACTGGAAAGGGGCAATGTGAGGGAGAGATAATAAATGCCTGTAAAAACAAGTAAATGAAGGAATGAATAATTTTTAAAAGATTAGGCAACAACAACAAAGGTCCAGCAAATAATACTGAAAAGAAGCAGACGGAGGAGTAGGAAAAGAATGAAGAGAGTGAGAAGAAGAAGAAGAAGAAGAAGAAGAAGAAGAAGAAGAAGAAGAAGAAGAAGAAGAAGGAGGAGGAGGAGGAGGAGGAAGAGGAGGAAGAAGAGGAAGAAGAGGAGGAGGAGGAGGAAAAAGAAGAGGAGGAGAAGGAAGAAGAAGAGGAGGAAGAAGAAGAAGAAGAAGAAGAAGAAGAAGAAGAAGAAGAAGAAGAAGAAGGCAGGAGAGAAAGAAGAGAAAAGGAGAGAGAGACAGAGACACAGAGACAGAGACACAGAGAGAGGTTATGACAACCCAGAGAGAAGATGGCCAAAAGTACCAGATGCTACAAGGAGGTTACGAAGGATGAAGAGAGGGAAAAGACCACGCCATTTGGTAGCAAAAAGATAATCAGTAATTTTGAAGAGCAATTTCAGTCAAATGACGAGAGTGGAAGCCAGCTTGCAGAGGGAGGGGGAATGAGAGGAAAGGGGATGGAGACAGCCTCATCAACAGCTTTCTCGAGGATTCTGGCTGAGAAAGGGAGAGCTGTAGGAAGATAACCAGCAGGCATAGGGTATTGTGAGCATGGAAGAAGAACAAGGTCAAGAAGGACGTGCTAAAAGACACCCCAGTGCTGACATTGCTCAGGGACCATGGAAAGACAGGCTGGATCCTGCCTCCTGAACCAGGAAAGACATCTCCAGCAACACCGTGAGTAGAGAAGCTGCCTCCAGGCAAGGGTGGGCTGTTATGCCCAGAGAAACCAAGAAAGATGTGGAAAGGCAAAAGCCTAGAGAGGCAGACACTGGTAAAGAAGGAGACTCAAAGCTGGGCAGAGAGAGAGGCAAAGAGACAGAAGGGAAAAGCAGAAACAAAAACATGAGAAGCAGATAGAAATATTGGGGGAGACATTTCTTTGAAGAATCAGATAGAGAGTGACAGAGCTACAGAGACAGAGGCTGGGGCAGGTAGGTGGTACAGTAAATAGAGCACTGGCCCTAGAGTCAGGAGAACCTGAGTTCAAATCCAGCCTGAGACACTTAACAGCTGTGTGAATCTGGGCAAGTCACTTAACCCCAATTGCCTTCCCTCCCCCCAAAAAAAAATTTTTTTTAAGTATATAATAAGAACCCTCTTGGCCAGGAGCTAGGAAACAGCAGGCTGCAGCCTGGGCCCTGCCCTGACTCCCTGCATCACCTTGAGGCCTTGCCCCTCTCTACCTCAGTTTCCCAGATACGCTTGATAGATCTAGAAGAGATCACAGAGAAAAGCTGACATTTGACTTCTCCCCGGCCTTCCCAGACTCCCCCAGTTCAGGCAGAGCGAGTGGGGCCAGGACCCCGAAGATCCGGTGGAGGAAGAATGAGCAGGAGTAGCTGCTCCTCATTCCAGCTGTCCTCCCACAGGCCAGGGCCTCCACCAGAAAGGTGGATGGAAGCATTCCAGACCCCCATACCCAACACCTAACCTAACTCCTTGTCTCTGCCAGAGATCAAGCCCAGAAGGAGAGACTCAGGGCAGGACTCCCAGGACAGTCAAGGGTAGCTAGAAGTGGCTGACAGAGAGACCGGGGACAGAGTACAGAAGGGCCTGGCTCCCCCAGAGCAGGGCCCAGCCTCCAAAGGGTGGGCTCCACCACAGCAGAGGCCTTATAAGACACGAACAGGCTGCATCCAACACACACTTTGGGATTCAAGTCTCGAAATGTGGCTAATTCTCCTGCTCTGTCTCTTGCTATTGACTCTGGCCCTCTGGGCCAGGAGCGCTCAGGGGTCTCGGGGCAAGCTGCCCCCTGGCCCCACACCACTACCACTGCTTGGGAACCTGCTACAGCTCGGCTCTTCCAAGATGGACCAGTGCCTCATGGAGGTGGGAGGAGGTGGAGGCAAAGTGGGTGCACCATCCTGGGGCTGGGGGGCGGGATGCCAACATGCTGGGGTCCTGATGGCAAAGCTCACTGGAACAGAGCCACCCTAAAGGTTGGAGAAACAGAGACAAAGACACATGGTGGGGGACAAGGCCAAGCCATCCCAGAGCCCCAGAGGTCAGGGACTGGGAGGGCTGTGCTGTGGGGGCAAAGAAATGGCCTTGGAGGCCGAATCCTAAGACCTTAGAGCTAGAAGGGACCTTTGAGTTATCTAGTGTCCAATCTCCCCCCTTTTGACAGCTGGAGAAATTGAAGCCTGGGTAGGTGAAAAGACTTGTCCAGAGTCCTATACAAAGGCAGCAGAGGCAAATCCAAGTCTTTGAACATTTTTTCCATTATATCATTGGATTTAAGACCTGGTTTTGCTCATTATTTTCCTCACCTTGACACCTCACCTCCCTTTCATTCTTTGTGTCTCAGTTTCCTCAACTGTAAAATAAGGTTATTGGAGAAGCTCCTGTCTGCTCTGCCAGACTGTAATTCTGGGTCCTGGACATGGGTCAAAGGGTGAGGGTCTGGGAGACTGGGATGCTGGGGTACCTATGGACTGGGACTGGGATTCCAATGAAATGTAATCTTTTTCTGTCTCCCTGACTTCTAGTATAATGCCTGGTCCACAGTAGGGATGTAATAAATTCATGTTGACTAGGAAGTCAGGACATCCGTGTCCTTACAGAGTAGAGTGGGGAAAGGAAGGGTTTAAGGGGGCAGGGTCCCAGAGGCCAGAGTAGAAGGAAACTGGGAGCACCAGACACTAAGGCTTCAGGGGTTAGGGGCTGGCTTCCTAGAGGGAAGAGTGTGCATCTAAATGGGTAATGGGGCAAGGACTAGGAGAGGGGGAGAGTAGGGGCTAGCATATCCAGATTCCAGTGTCCCGGAGGGAGGCGGGAGGAAGGGAAGAGCAAGGACTGGGCTAGGAGACTCCTGTTAGTGTCCCAGGGGCTGAGAGCTGGGGTCTGGGGTCCCAGATAATGGGATCTCAGGACTCAGAGGCTAAATGGCAGAGGGTAATGGGGGGGGAAAGGGGTACACTCACACACCAAGATGCTTGAGTCTCCAGGTTCAAAGTGGGAGGCCCAGGACTTCAGCATCCCACGAGGTAGGGGGGTTGTGGTCTCACGACTCAGAGACAGATCTCAGCTGGGCTGCAAAGAATGGGGACCCCAGATGCTGGATTACAGAGGTGGGATGCCTGGCTCCCATTGGTCAAGATATGGGATGCCTGGATCCCCTCAGTTGGGGGGTCCAGGATCCCAGAGAGTTGTAGCTGGAGCTCTTGGGGTTCTCGGGTCTGGACTGCAAGGGTGTGGTGGAGTGAGGTGCTTAGCTCCCATTGGTCAGGGTGTGGGGTGGCTGAATCCCCTCATTTGGGGGGGGGTGTCCAGGGTCCCAGTGTCCCAGTTATCAGGGTTCATGGGTCTGGGTTGCATCTGGAGGTGGAGTGAGCGCTCACTGCTCAGGATGCGGGGTGCCTGGCTCCCCAAGTCATCGGCTAGGGGGTTCCTGGGGGTCCGCCGAGGCACCCCTCATCTCGCTCCCTTTCCCTGCCCTCCGTCCCGCAGCTGAGCTGCCGCTATGGGCCGGTGTTCACCGTGCACCTGGGTCCGCGGCCGGCAGTGGTGCTGTGCGGCTCGGCAGCACTGCGGGAGGCGCTTCTGCTGCAGGGGGATGCCTTCAGCGGTCGCGGGGCCATGCCCACGTTCGAGCGTTTCACCCGGGGCAACGGTGAGCGAGCGAGCTAGAGCGGGTGGGCGAAGGGGGGGGGCCTTTATCCTGCGTGTGTCCGTCCGTTCGTACCTGTCTCTCCACTCCTCGTGTCTCTGCTCCTGTCTGTGCCCCCAGCGTCTTTTCCTCATGTCTCTCTGCTCCTCCCTGTGTTCCTATGATTGTGTGTACCCCTGTTCGTACCGCTGTTACCCCCGCTACTCTCTGTCCTCGTGTCTTTACCCGTTGTGTCTCCCCGCCCCCATCTCCCTGTGTCTCCCCCGTCGCCGTCGGCCCCTGTGCACCCGGGTGTCCTGTTCCCCTCTCTGTCTGCCCCGCTGCCCCTTCCCTCGCCTGACTTGTTCCCTCTTCCCCCGCCTCTCCATCGCCTCCTCCTACTCCGTCTGTTCCCCCCTGTTCTCCGTGTTCCCCCTGTTCGTCCTATCTTTGTCCCGCGTGCTGCACCTCCTGCTAAGCGCCGTCTGGGGCCTTAGGGCCACCTGGCCCCCAGTCGTCGTCGTCGTCGCCGTCGTCGTTGTCCCCTCGTCCTTGTCTCCCAATCCCCCATGTCTCTTCGCGTCTGTGTGTCCCCTTGTGCAGGGATCGCTTTCTCCAACGGCCCCCGATGGCATACGCTTCGAACGTTCACGATGGGCGCCCTGAAGGACATGGGGCTGGGGACGCGCAGCATAGAGGAGCGGATTCAGGAAGAAGCGGCCGCCCTCTGCGAAGAACTCGGCCAAAACCGCGGTGCGGGCCCCCGGCCCGCCCCTGGCCGGGACCAGAGCCTGGAGAGGCCGGCGGGGGGCGGAGGGTGGGGCGGGGGGGAGAGTTAGAGTGTTGAGAGCGGGCTGGGAAACGGCCGCACCGAGGGACATCGAGCGTTGGGGGCAGGGCCCAGAGCCGGCACGGGGGTAGGAAGAGGGACAGAGACACCGCCCAGCGAAGACACCGAAGGGTCGTTGGGGGGGAGGGACAAAGACACCCAGAAACAAGGACAGGGAGACGCTGGTGGTAACGACAGGGCGAAACTGGAGGAGGGGACAGAGACACTGAGAGAAAGGGAAAGCACTGGGGAGCAAAGACGCCAAAGATTGGAGGTCTGCCTCCCCCTCCAGGCAGGGGAAGGAACAGAGACGATGGGTGCAAAGGCACCAGGCAGATTGGGGCGGGCCTGGGGGGCAGAGACAGATAGGGAGCATCGCAGAAAGACAGATTCACAGAGAGACAGACACTGAAGGACATTGGGGGCAAAGGTAGAGTCTGGAGGCAAGAGGGGATGGAGAGAAGCAGAGAAACAGTGGGACAGAGACACCCAGAGATAAAGAGGAAGACTCTGGGGTGGGGGGAGAGATACTCTAAAGCAGAGACACCTAGAGATAAAGAAAAGGAGACACGCAAGTAGGGGCAGACACACAGACTGGGAAAGGAAGGGCAGAGACATCCAGAGATAGAGAAAGGGAGAGACACAGAGGTGGGGCCAGAGACACAGTCTGGGAAAGGAAGAGCAGAGATATCAAGGGATAAAGAAGAAGACACTGGGGTGGGGGCAGAGAAATCCTAAAGCAGAGACACCCAGAAATAAAGAAAAGGAGAGACACAGAGGTGGGGGCAGAGACATAGACTGGGAGGGGAAGGGCAGAGATATCCAGAGATAGAGAGAGACACTGGGGTGGGCAGAGACACAGACTGGGAAAGCAAGGGCAAAGACATCCAGAGATGAAGGGAGAGACACAGAGGTGGGGACAGAGACATCCACAGATAAAGAGAGAGAGAGACAAGGGTGGGGGCAGAGACATAGATTGGGAGGGGAAGGGCAGAGACACCCAGAGATAGAAAGACATTGGAGTAGGGACAGAGATATCCTAAAGCAGAGACACCCAGAGATAAAGAAAAGGAGAGACACAGGGGTGGGGGCAGAGACAGTCTGGGAAAGGAAGGGCAGAGACATCCAGAGATAGAGACACTGGGGTGGGCAGAGACACAGACTGGGAAAGGAAGGGCAAAGACACCCAGAGATAGAGAGAGACACTGGGGTGGGCAGAGACACGGACTGGGAGACGAAGGACAGAGACACCCAGATAAAGAAAGAGACACTGGGGTGGGCAGAGATGCAGACTGGGAAGGGAAAGGCAGAAACACCCAGAGATAAAGGGAGAGACACAGAGGTGGGGGCAGAGACACCCAGAGAAAGACACAAGGATGGGGGGCAGAAACATAAGGCTGAGAAGGGAAGGGCAAAGACACCCAGAGATAAAGGGAGAGACACAGAGGTGGGGGCAGAGACACCCAGAGATAGACATTGAGGTAGGCAGACACACAGATTGGCAAGGGAAGGGCAGAAACACCCGGAGATAAAGAGACAAGGGTAGGGGCAAAGACACAGACTGGAGGGAGGGGGAGAAGGGACAGAGAAGAACAAGGGGGTGGGCAAGCAGAGGCACAGGTGAACCCACAAATGGACAGAAGAGATGCTGGGAGCAAAAATACAAGGGAGAGACAAAGACAGAGACATTGGGAGGGAGGCAGTGGTGGGAGAGAGGTAGAGAGACACAGGTGAACGGGGCCAGAGGAGAGTGGACCGGGATACAGGGGCCAGAGACATGGGAGGAGAGACTGGCATCAAGGTCCCTTCCCCAGGGTGGCGATGCATCTGACCCTCAGGCTCAATTCTCTCTTTTCTCCAGATGCTCCATTTAACCCCCAACAGCTCCTATGCAATGCTGTGTCCAACGTCATCTGTGCGGTGGTGTTTGGACAGCGCTATGGCTATGAGGACCCTGATTTCAAAACCCTGCTCGATCTGCTGAATGACAACTTTAAGCTAATGAGTTCCCAGTGGGGCCAGGTGAGGCCCTCCATGCCTGGGCCCTCCCGTGGCAGGCTCAGCCCCGAAAGGGGTCCCAACCTAGGAGATCCCTCTAAATCAGGGGAGAAGCCAGGGCTGGGGGTTGGACATTTATGGTGAGGAAGCATTTCTGGAGATCCAAACCTAAAGGGTGTCTTAGGAAGGGGACCCCAGCTGGAAGGATAGGCAGATGGAGAGGGGAGGACACGAAGGGTAACTGGGAGAAGGAGAAGATGAATGGAGAAAAAAATGAGGTAGGGACAAAACGGGTTTGGTTGGAGAATAAGGTGTCTGGCAGCCTGAAGTTTAAGACCTGGAAGGCTTCTCAGAGATGGAGTCCAACTTAGAAAAGAGACTTGCCCAAAGTCACATAGCCCATAGGGAGCACACAAGGCCAGAACCAATGAGGCATTGAATGCCAAGCCGAGAGGTAAAGATGGGGATCCTGTGGGCTTCAGGGAACAAGAGAAAGACCCTGAACTGGTAAAAGTGGAGCACAGGGCTGAGCTTTAGAGACCTGGGCTCTAATCCTGGCTCTCTTACTTGGTAGCTGTTATCACCTTGGGCAAGTCACTTAACCTCTGAGCTTCCTCATTTATGAAATGGAGGTAATTCTAGCAGTAGTGCCCACCTCACAAGGTTTTTGTGAGGCCCAAATGAGATCATCTATGTAAAGTGTTTTGTAAACTTTAAAGCATGATAAAAATGTCCCCTTCTGCTAAATCTAAGATTTTATGAGGCAGTAATGATAACAGCTGTGGCCACTAGGTGGCGCCATAGTGCCTCGAGCACCCGGTCTGGGGTCAGGAGCACTCTTCTTTCTGAGTTCAAATGCGGCCTCAGACACTTACCAGCTGTGTGAGCCTAGGCAGGTCACTTCACCCTGTTTGCCTCAGTTTCCTCATCTGTAAATTGAGAAGGAAATGGCAAACCACTCCAGTGTCTCTGCCAAGAAAACCCCAAATGGGGTCATATAGAGTCATACATAACTAAAAAAAAAAAAAAGACTGAACCATATAGTCCCTGCAGCCTTGCAAAGCACCTTACCAATGTCATCACAGCTGATCCTTCCAACAACCTGTTATCACCCCCATTCTAGAGCAGGAAAAGCTGAGGCTGGGGTTAAGTGACTTGCCCAATGTCATCCAGCTAGTGTCTGAGGCAGAATGTGAACCCAGCTCTTCCCGACTCCACGTCGCCGTGTGGCTGCCTCACGGCCAGCAGATAGAGTTGTGCACTGCTCCCTTCCTCCCCACATGAGCCTCCTCTTCCTGTCCCTCACCCCAGATGTACAACATGTTCCCCTCTGTCATGGACTGGGTTCCTGGTCCCCACCAGCGAATCTTCCACAACTTTGAGTTACTACGGGCCTTCATCTACGATCAGATTTGGAAACACCAGAAGAGCAGGAAGCCCAGAGAGCCTCGGGACTTCATTGACTGTTTCCTAGATCAGATAGACAAGGTTGGGTCCCTTCCCCACACCCGCCCCTCCCCTGCCCCGTGCTTGATCGCGCCACCTCCCCATGCCCCCAGACAGCCCCTCCTGCCACAAGCCCCAGCCTGCTTGCTCTGCCACAGGAAAAGCAGGACCCCTGGAGTCACTTCTACATGGATACGCTAGTGATGACGACCCACAATCTATTCTTCGGGGGCACCGAGACCACAAGCACCACCCTTCGCTACGGGCTGCTGATCTTACTCAAATATCCCGAAGTGACAAGTGAGTGCCCTCCATCTCCATGAGTCCCCCCGTCTGTAGGAGGGAGGCTTCCCTGGGGAGGATGGAACCATGGGAAAGCATGCTGGAAAGGCCCAGATGCCACCCCTGGCATTTGGCTCCTGAGTGGGTCCGCACCACTTCATTTCTCTAGGCCTCAGTTTCCTTATATGTAAAACAATGGGATTGGACCAAATGGCCTCTGAGGGACCTTCCAGCTTGAGATGTAGGACCCTGTGAGCTGATGACGGGAAAGGGGGATGCAGGAATAAGAGAGACCATCTCCTCAGTGCCCTCCCTTCTCCCTCCCTCTGCTTCCCCAGAAAAAGCCCAAGAAGAGATAGACCGTGTGGTGGGGCGGGACAGGGCCCCTCGCCTCGATGACAGAGAAAACCTGCCTACGCCAACGCGGTCCTGCATGAGATCCAGAGACTCATCAGCGTCCTGCCCATGGGCTTGCCCCGGGCCACCACACAGGATACCCATTTTCGTGGCTACCTCCTGCCCAAGGTGCCCACTTTGGTTCCACCCTGTCTATGGAGGGCTGGGGAGACCCCAGTAGGACAGGGGAGGGGGGGAGTGCAGCTGATCTGAGGAGGAGGAACCCAGCATCCCGGGATTCCAGCCAGCCAACGATCAAATATTAAGCCAGGCACTGTGCTAAATGAGGGGCTATTTAAAAACACAAAACAGAAGAGCGAAGTCTCCCAGCCTGACTGGGGAGACAATACGCAAGAGAGAGAGACAGATAGGTAAGTGGGTAGGTAGTTAGACAAGATAGAAAGACAGACAGAAGAAGAGAGACAGACAGGCAAGTAGGAAGGCAGGCAGGCAGGACAGATGGATAGAAAGATAGACAAGTAGGTAGGATAGGGACAGACAGATAGATACACACATAGATAGACAGAGAGGTAAGTAGGTAAGACAGACAAGTAGATAAGTAGGTAGGTAGGCAAGACAAATACTGGTAGATCTATATAGATATATCACACACACACACACACACACACACACACACACACGTGTCACAAATGAGGTTTCACCCCAAGGAGGAAGCACTAGCAGCAGGGGAGGGGACAGGATAAGGACCATAAAAGGCCCGTCCTGCCCAAGACTGGATTTGATGCGAATATTGAAGGAAGCCAGTGAAGCCATGAGGCAGAGCTGAGGAGAGAGAGCCTTCCAGGCACAGGGACAAACAGGGGAAAGGCCTGGAGTTTGGGGAATGAAGGATGGTCCTTGTTTAAGGACCAGCAGGACAGGCCAGCATCACTGGACCACAGAGTATGCTGAGCAGAGATAGGAAGGCACCAGGTTATGAAGCATTTCCAAAGCCAAAAAGGGCATTTTCTATTTGATCCTGGAGGCAGTAGGGAACCACGGGGTGGGGGTGGGGGTTATTGAGCAGAAGAGTGACATGCTCACCCTTGCACTTGAGGAAGATCACTTTGACAGCTGAGTCAAGGATTGATTGCAATGGGAAAGAGACTCAGGGCCACCCAGAAGGCTCCAGTCGAGGCATGCGGTGATGCAGGCCTGCAGCCCTCCATCTCCTTGAGAAGGCCACCTACCTGGGGTGCCTACACTGGTGTGCTCAGTCAGAATCCCTCTGCAATCTGGCTTCTGACCTCAATGTGCACTAAAACTGCTCTCTCCAAAACCACCACTGGTTTCCCAACGGCCAAACGCGATGGCCTTTTCTCAAGCCTCATTCTCTTGGCCTCTCTGCAGCCTTTGAGGCTGTGGATCACCCTCTCCTCCCGGCTACTGTGTTCTCTCCAGGTTTTCAGAACGCCCTTCTTTCTCTCCTGGTTTCCTCCTCCCTCCCTGACCGCTGCTTCTCAGTCTCCTTGCCTGGGTCTGCCTGTAGGTCATACCCTCTGACCCTCGCTGTCCCTCAGACCCTCTGTCTTGAGCCCCCTCTCTTCTCTCTATATTACTTCACCTAGTGATCTCGCCAGTTTCCATGAATCCAATATCGTCTCTATGCAGATAATTTTCACAGTTCCATATCCAACTCTAACCTCTTTACTGGGCTAATCTGCTTCTTGGCAGTCCAAAACCCAACTGATTCTTTCCTCCAAAACCCTTCCCTCTTTTGAACTCAGCTATTATGGTCAAGAACACCACGTACCCCCCAGGCTCAAAACCTCCCTGTTAGACCCAACTCACTTCAATCCATTACCGTCTTATTTTTACCTTCACATTTCTCCACTCATACATAGCCAACCCCCCTGGTGCAGCCCCTTATCACCTCTCACCTGCACCGCTGCATCAGCCTTTTCATCGGTTGCCCCTGCCTCGCCAAAGTGATTTTCCTAACGCATAGGTCTGACCACATCACCACCACCTCTTAATAAACTACAGTGGCTCCCTATCACCTCCAGGATCAATTAACAAGTCTTTTCTTTCTGACTTTTAAAGCCCAAATTCACTCTTCTTCACCAGCAACTCCAGCTGCCCCTCGAACACGACACTCCCATCTCCCTCCTCGCTTTTCTCTAAGAGACACGGAGCATTGGTAGGCAGTGGGAAAGGAGACTGAAGATTAGGAAGAGTGGTGGTCATCTTCTCTGGCTGGCCCTCTTCCCTAGGACGCTCTCTCCTCCACCTGACTTCCCAGTCTTCAAGATTCAAGTCAAATTACACTTTCTGCAAGTGGACTTTTCTCCACCACTTTGCTTGTTGGCTGACTGCTATCTTGCAGAGAGAGAACAGATAGATAGATAGGTAGGTAGGTAGGTAGACAGACTGACAGACAAGACAGACAGACAGATGTTTGTTTGTCCTTCGTTCCTTTTTTTTGTTTTGTTTTTGGCTAGGCAACGGGGTTAAGTGACTTGCCCAGGGTCACACAGCTAGTAAGTGTTAAGTGTCTGAGGCCGGATTTGAACTCGGGTCCTCCTGAATCCAGGGCCGGTGCTCTATCCACTGCGCCACTTAGCTGTCCCCTCGTCCTTCGTTCTTGAAGAGGACTTTGACACCAGGAAGGTGATGCCATGACTTGCGAGTGAATTGGATTTAAGAGAGGCAGGACTGTGCAAAGTCACCAGCCTCACTTTCTCCTCCGGAGCCATCTGGGTCCAGTGGCCAGATACAGATGAGGACAACTGGAGATGGTCCGCAGAAGGATAGACAGGAAATGGCACAAAGGCAGAGATACAACTTTGGAACCAGGTTAAATAACACTAAGTGAGTTTAGGTGAAGAGTTGAAGATGGCACTGGGTGACTGAGAGGATGGTGGTGACCTCAACAATAATAGTAAAATTTGGATCATTTTGGGCCTGGAGTCACCAAGGCCTGAGTTCAAATCCAGCCTCGGACACTTATAAGATCTGTGACCTTGGGAAAGTTAACCCTAAGTCATTCTGTCTGCCTCGGATCTCTCACCTGTAAAATGGGGGCAAATAGCATTTGTGAGATTGTGGTGAGAATCCAATGAGATAATTAGTGTCAATGCTTTGAAAACCTCCAAGCGCTGTACCAGCTTTAGTATTATTAGTTCTGTTTTGGACATGTTGAGTGAGATGTCTATGGGGTATCCAGTTGGAAATGTCTAGAAGGCAATTAGAGATACAAATCTCTAATGTAAAAAGGTTAGCTGAGAGTTTAGGGGCTGGCTAAGTCAATTTGGGAATCAGCAGCATAGGATGGGAGCTGAATCCATGAGAATCGATGAGATCCCCCAGGGAAGTGGTATGGAGGGAGCCTGGTGGACGTGCTCTGGATGAGGACCCAGCAAAGGAGACTGGGGAGGAGTCAGACACACGAGGGAAAGCAGGGGAGAAGAATCTACAAGAGAGAGAAGAGAGGGATGGGCAATGACAAAGGCCACAGAGCAAAGGTCACTGCATTGGACAATTAAGAGATGGCTGATGACGCCTCTGGAATGCAGTGCCAGGAGGACGACGGTTGAAAGTCAGACTGAAAAAGGTTTAGAATGGAGAAGGGATAGTCCCTAGAACAGCTGGCACCTAGAACAGGCAGCTTTCTCCTGCAGTTTAGCCACAAAGAGGGAAAATATGATAGCTAGTGAGGATGGTCTGGGGGGATGTGGGACATATGGGAGATTAAAGAAACCAAGGGTGCATGGTGAAGAAGGGTTATCTTTTCATGAGAAGCAGAGGCAGGCAGAGTCAATGGTGGGGGAAGGCATATGACGGGAGATGAAGAGGAGGGGAGAATTTTTGCGATGACATCTGAGGTCCTTGGCAGCATGAAAGGGACGGTGGCACCACGGGAGACTGGAAGAGGGATGAAAGGGAAGGTGACACCACCTGAGAGGTGCACAAAGATTGCCCTGATGCAGTGAGGGCCCAGGGGAGGTTTCATGGTCTTCCTCTGGCTCCCAAGCTGGTCCTGAGGCTGCTGGACAGAGGACAGTCCACCTGCCAGCTCTGCCCTCTGGCAACAGGCCCCAGTTAGGCTGGCACCAACTGTCCTCCCACTCCCATTAGGGCACCCACGTCATCCCACTCTTGGTGTCCGCACACCGGGACTCAATCCAGTTCAAGGACCCACAATGCTTTGACCCGACCAACTTTCTGGATGACAAAGGGGCCTTCCGACCACACCAAGCTTTCATGCCCTTTGCTCCAGGTAAGGGCCACCCAGGGCATCGTTACAGGGGTGGTGGAGAGACTCTGGGGAGTACAGTCAGAAGGAAAGGGAGCCCAGGACCAACCCACAGCCCCTCAGACCCATTATAGCCTTACAAGCGGGAGGCTTTACATGGGCTCCCAGGAAGATGGGAGGGACACTAGCACCACCCAACCCGAGATCCACCCTGGCAGTTAAAGCAACCTGGGCACCAGCTCTGCGGCCAGGCCCTGGGGCCACTGACAGCCTCTGCCCACCCGCAGGGAAGCGCACGTGCCTAGGGGCAAGTCTGGCCCGAATGGAAATCTTCCTCTTCTTCACCACCATCCTCCAGCGCTTCAAACTCTACCCGGTGGAGAAGCCTGAGGACATAGACCTGACCCCTCAGTGCACAGGCCTGGGCAACGTGCCCCCGGCGTATGAGCTCCGCGTGCTGGCCCGCTGAGCTCCTGCCCGAGGGGACACCTGCGATCCCTCCCACCCCCACTGTGTCTTTTGTCGAATAAACCCCCCCCTCAAAGGCACGGCACGTGTGTGTGAACTGCTCATTGGGGTGGGTGGGCGGACAAAAGGCAGCACACGTGCCCGGCTCTGAGGTAAACTTTATTTGGGGGCGGGCGGCAAGTCTGCAGCCGAGGCTCCGCTGAGCACCCCTACCCCCACAGAAGGCTCAGTCCAGAGGAGGCCAGGGCCAAGGTGGGGGGGCACTTCACATTCCAGGCTGGAGGAAGGGGGCAGGAGTCCCACCCATCCCCCCTGCCAGCAAGAGGCCATGACCCTCCCCACCCCCAACAATTCCAATCTTGTATCCTGGTTAGAGGGGGCAGTGCCAGGGGGCCCCACTGTGGGGCGAGTCCACGGGAGGCTTACTCCTTGCGGAGCTGGGGAAAGGGCCACGTGCACGGGATGCTGCCTGTCCCTGCCCAGCTCCCGCTGTGCCAGGAGTAGGCGATCCTGCTCCCCTCGAGGGCTGGCAGTAACCCCTCCACCCACATGGGGAGGGGGAAGGCAGGCAGGCAAAGGCAGAAGCAGCAGCAGAGAGAACGGCCATGGTGTCCAGGACAGCCCAGCCCGGCCGCCAGCAGAGCAGCACGGGGGGGGGGGGGGGGACGCGACCATCCGGCTGGTTCCAAGTGCTCTCCGCTAGGTAGGCTGGCCTGGCTGGGACACAGGCACCTGAATGCCCTTCTGGCCTGATGCTACAGAGACACAGAAAGACACGGAATTAACTGGAGGCTAAGAATGAGTCACATGACTGATCCCAGGGAAGGGAGGAAGGATGTGGGAGGGGGGAGGGGCGAGGGGCCAGGAGGCTGGAGGGAAGTGGAATGGCCACAACCTGAAGGAGAGACTTGGTGTGCAGGCTGGGGGGGGGGGAGGCGGGGAGAAGGATTAGAGGGTGGGGCCATGGTGGGAGCTGAGGAGCCCCGGAGGGCAGAAGGCAGTGGCAGGGATGACCAGGAAGCAGGTACCTAGTAGATACTTGTCCTTGGCTGCAGCCCGTTCCTTGGCATCAAAATACCAGACAGTGATGGCGTACCTGGGCACACAAAGAATGCCCACCTCATGACCCCCTGGGGTCTAAACAGGACCCAAGGGGGTGCTAAGCTCCCATCCCCACAGCAGGGATGAGCCCCCAAACCCACACTTGAGCTGTTATGGACCAAGCCTAGATCTAGAGATAAAAAAGAACTCAGAAGTCATCTAGCAAAAGAGTAAAGTGAGGCCCAGGGAGGGAGTGATTGGCCTGAGGTCACACAAGGTACTAAGTGTCAGAGCCAGGATTCAAACCCAGGGCTCCGAGTCAGTGGGGAACTCCAGGACTTCTGGGCTTTTAATATCTGCACAGCCGGATTCAGACATAATGAGCTTCCCTTGGAACCCTGCACGTTTTCCTTTGTGCACTGGAGGCCACATGTAAACGTCAGAACCCCCTCCCCCTGGAGAAGCAGGGGCCCAGGAGGGTTGCTAGACTTGCCCAGGCCCAAGCAGCTGCTTCAGTGGTCCCTGGAGGTGAGGGAGGAGGGTGGTCAAGGGCGCACCTGGTGGCGTAGGCCGGCTTCACCTCGTGGGGATTCCTGCGGTCCGACCAGAAGATCAGCAGCCGATCAAACAGAGGCTCGATGTTGGCCACCACAGGCCGACCCTCGGGGAAGATCTGCAGCAAGCCACCGTGGGTCTGTGCCCGGGAACAAGCCGGCCAAGTCAAATGTCAGCGCGAAACCGGCCCCACCTCCAGCCTCTGCACCCCCGGAGGCTTCCCACCAGGGGGCGCAGAACCCCGAGGTTGGGGGCCGTTTACAGCCCCGCCCCCCTCATCTGCACAAGAGGAGGCATGACAGCCCAAACCCGTTGCCATAGAGATGTCCAGGAAGCCACCAAAGACAGGAAGTGGGGGGAAGGGGGGATGTTTATTACAGACCAGGCGAGGCGGACTGCACCATTCTGTGCACGGGGTGGGGGAGGAATGGAAGCTGCCAAGGGAGGGGGGGAAGGCAGGCCAGAACTCGCCATTCCAGGTACAGGAGGGAGGAGAGCCGGTGGACAGCACCATTCCACGCACTGGGGAAGGGAGGCATGGAAGAGACCATACAGAAGGGGAAGAGACGGGGAGGACGACACCATCCTCACACGGAGGGGTGAAGAACTAAAGCACAGCTAGGTGCAGGCACACCCCTCCAAGGGCACGCCCACACGCATGCACCCCGCTTCCCCCTCGGGGGCCCTACCTTGATGTCCCAGTTCTGGTTCAGGTAATAGATACAGGTGATGCAGCGCCCATCCCCGTGGGGGTTGTCCACATGCCGCACATAGCCCAGCCCGTTGCCAGGGTAACAAGCCACCATGGCCTGCGGGAGGCACAGAGGGGCGGGGCCGTCAGGAGGCTCCTCCCCCAAGAAAATCAGACAAGTTAAACACGCGGCTGGAAAAAGAAAACTGGGGCCCGGCCGTGCCGGCCAGAGCCTGGGGCCTGATGAGCCCTAGGAAAACAGGGCACACCTTTGAGCCATCCAAGCCCCGCGAGGTCAAGGGTGGAGGGGGAGGCCCCAAACATAACATACATCTTTAGCCCTGCTGGAGGCAAAGAACTGGGAGGATGAGGCCGGGGCCTGCTTCCCAGGGAGTATGAAAGCAATGCAATGTTCTAGGCTACTGCTGTTTATACAGCACTTTAAGGCTGGCCAGGTGCTTCACAAACATCCCTGGATCCACACAACTCTGGGAGAAAGGTGCTGGTATGACTCCATTTTACAGATGAGGAAACTGAGGCAGACTGAGGTTAAGGGACCTTCCCCCGGGTCACACAGCTATGAGACAGGATATGAACTCAGGTTTTCCTACTGCCAGGTCCAGGGATCTATTCACTATATAGTTTCCTTTCAGAAAATGTGATTCTTAAATTAAGATGAAGAAATGATGAACAGAAGAATTCAGAGTAGCCTGAAGACTCAGGTGAAGTGACTCCACAAAAACGGGTAGGGATCAGAATGGGTGTCGGGCCTGTGATGTCCCAGATGAGGCTGCTCCCTCCACAAAAGCAGGCCTGTCCTTTCCCTCCATGTCAGGCTGAGAGAGCGGCCCAGAAGGTGGCCTGGCCTGGCCCTGGCCCTAGCCCCGGCCCCCACGGCAGTTTTCTCCTGGACTCTACCTCTGGTGGAAGGAAATGGAAAGAGCACACCTGGCCCTGGAGATGAATGAGCCCAAGCCCTTTCCAGAGAGAGGGATCATGGGTAGGAAACACAGCTCATGGCGTTGTTGAGGGTTAGCTGTGCCAAGCCGTCCCTACTTCTTAACTGTCACACTGGAGAAAGAAAGATTGTATTCTGAAAATGATGTAAAAACAGGTCATTTTTTGAAGAAGCCTAGGAAGCAGGGTGGCCCAGTGGAGAGCCCTGGCCTGACCTAAGCTCAAATCCTGACGAACTGTGTGATCCTAAGCAAGTCACTTGATTTCTGCCTGCCTCTGTTTCTTCATCTGTAAATGGAACCTAACAATAAATTAAGCTAACAGGATTGTTGGGAGGGTCAAATGAGATATATTTGTAGAGCTCTATATAACTGTGGCTATTTTTAACCCAGGAAAACTTGGTCTAAGACAAACTACAGCTCCCAGCTGACCACAATAACAGAGGGCAACCACCCTGAACAACTTCCTGACTTGACCAAACAGTGCCCGAGCAGGCGCCAAGGCAGCGGCGAGGTGTGGACTCAGCCCCGGGGTGGCCCGGCTGTACTGTCGTACCACTGTGACAGTGCTGCCCAGACTCGGAGGGGGATGTCTGTCAGCTGAACAAGGGCCCCCACTCGACTCCACAAATGCTTCCCAGCAGTTCCACGTGAGGCGATTCTGGCGTAGGCACTGGCATGGCCAAAGGCAGGACAGAAGGCCCTCCCCTCAGAGGCCTCCTGCGAACACCAGCCCCCTCCACCGACCTCCCCACCGTCTCTGCTGCAGGTCTGTTTCCCACCAACCCACTCATGGGGCTCAGGCAAGCCTTGAACACCCCCTGGCCAGCAGCACGCTAGAGCTGTCCTCTCCTGGCCCATGAATGCCTGCTCTAAGAGGGTCTGATTGAGAACGTCATCTCTTCCCACCACTATGGACACTTTTCTGACTTCGATCCTCACTTCACACTTTGCATTTGTACCCCCAATGCCTAGGATAGTGCCTGATACACAGTAGGTAATTAATAAATGCTTGTTGCTTGACGGCCCGGTTCACCGTGTGTCTGCCAAATCTCCATTTCCCTGTTGCACAGCAGTTCCCCATCAAAGGCCAAGTTCTGAGATGCCCGTCTGTCCATCCCCACTCCTACTCTACCTGCCTCCTGGATTCCTTAACAATAAGCAGCATTTATAGAATGCTTGAAGTCTGCAAAGAACTTGACAACCATTACCTCATCTGATTCCTACAACCACCTTGGGAAGTAGGTATTACTCCCACTTTACAGAGAGGAAAACAGGCTGAGAAAGGTTAAGTGACTTGCCAGGGGTGCTACAACTAGTGTCTCAGAGGGGCAGCTAGGTGGCCACATTGTGTGACCCTGTGCAAGTCACTTAACCCCAACTGCCCAAAACAAAAAGGGGGGGGAGTAGTGTCTAGGGTGAGATTTGAACTCAGGTCTTCCTGATTCCAGGTCCAGGCCTCTAACCACTGGGCCACTTTAATTTCCCTGAAGGTCAAATGGGGGTGTTTGGGAGGGGGCACAGATAAGACAGTGAAGATTAAGCTGAAGGTGAATCCAGAAGAGAATAAAAGAACTAGGGAAAAGCCCTCTTTCAGCCCCTGGCATCAGCTCCAGCCAGGCTCAGCATCTGGACTGTGCCCACCTCATGGCCCTAGGCACCCAGCTACACTATGTGCCAAAGTCACTGAGGACCCTGGGGCAGGGGGTGACTACACCAGAGGGCCCAGCTGTCCCCACTGCACGGCGTCACTCAGCACAGCGACTCCTGGGCCCTCCAGAGAACACTCCCCCACCCCAGCCCTGCTCTGACCTCTCTCCTTGGTGCTGCCCAGCTCCCAGGTTCACTGCCTCTTCAGCTCCCTGGCACGGAATCTCCCCTCTCGCTGAGGACACCTTCTCTCTGCCCTAAAAGGGTCCAGCCCATGATGCCTCCTCACCCTGACAGGGACAGGGTCACAGCCTAGAAGGGAGCTCTTTGGAGGCCATCTAACCCAGCGCAGGAAAGAGGCAAGGGAAGGCGAGCCCAAGGTGAGCTGCTGAGTGTCAGAGGCAGACCTGCCAGCGGCCACCATCCCTTGGTGCTCACTAACTCCAAGGCCATGGACAAATCCTACCACCTCTCAGTTTCCCCACATGCCATCTGGGGATGACGCCTGCACCCGAAAGCTCAGAGCTGCTGCCCACTTTGGAAGAACCTTCGAGTCTGCCGCCTTCGGAACTCCCTCCCTCAAGCTAGTTGCATAGGGTTAAAGGTGGGATTTGAACCCAGGTCTTCCTGACTCCCAGCCCTCTCCAGAAAGGAACTCTGCTTTCATTCCACCCCCACAAACAGGAGCTACTGAGACCAGTACAAATTGGAACCCGGGGCCTGAGGTCCCTCAGCCTTAGTGGCAGAACAAGACTTAAACTCGGGGCTCTTTCCTAGACAAGTCAAGCTCGTCCTTCCCACCGGGCTCTCAACTAGGTGCTTCCCCTATCCTCCCTCCTCAGGCCCAGACAACCCCAGTTCCCACCCTTGTACAGCCTCCTTGGGCCCGTGGCACTCTCTCCCACCAGGGGAAGGCAGACCCTCACCAGCAACTCTGATCACACCTGACGGTTCAACAGTTAGAGCAGCTGGGGCAAGGGGGCAGGGTGTGCTGAGCCGCCCCTCCCGGGGAGGCCAGGGAATCATCCTCAGCAGGCTCCACCCGCCTGGGGTCTCCCTCACGAGACTGTGAGCCTCCTAGGAAGCACGGCCTGCCTTCTACCTTTCGCTGGATCCCCAATGATTAGCACTGTGCCTGGCACACAGTAGGCACTCAATACATGTTTTCTCAGAGGTAAAGCTGCCTTAACAGAATGAATGCTAGAGCTGGAAAAGGCTCTGAAACCATCAAGTCCAAGCCCCTTGTTTTACAAATGGAGAGACTGAGGCCCAGACAAAGGGGATTGCTAAAGATCACACAGCTAATTATCAACAGCAGAGTCCGAGCTCAAACTCAGGTCTGGGGCTCTTCAGACGAGGCCCTCCCCTTCACAACTTTCAAGGAGAGACAGCCTCCTTGCCCCCTCCCCACAGCACCAGGTCCAGGGCCCGACCTGTGGGGACAGGACGTGGACACACGGTCATGGACACACACTCCTCCTCCTCCTCCTCCTCCTCATTCTCATCCTCATCATCATCATCTACTTCTAAAGGCCCCAAAGCCTCGGCTTCCTCTTGGGTCACATCAGGGGGTGACTGGAACAGACTTGGAAGTCCCACCTCGCTGGCAGGAGGCTAACCCTTGGCTGTCTCCCCTCTGCTATGGATAAGACTCTTCTCACAGTCTCCCCCAAATAAAGTGTAAGATGCCTGTGGGCAGGCAGCTCACCACTTCCCTGCACTTGCCATCTCAGACCTGGCACTAGGGCCAGCTCCACAGCCCCTGGCTCTGGGGAAATTTCTACTTCCTGCTCCTGACCCCAGCAGCCTGGACAGGGTCTTGGCCACAAGGTGAAAAGGCCCCTCCCCCAGGCCACCCCCATCCTTAGGTCAGCCAAATGTCCAGAAAGGAAAGAGTTAAGGGCCTCCCAGGGTTGATTCCCTAAATGCGTCAGAGGCTAGGGCCAGGGCCAATGATGGCAGGCCCCACCTACTCAGAGCTCTTAAGAGAATAACCCAAGGAACCTAGGTCCCTCTGGCCCAGCCCCATCCCCCACTGGCAGCCCCTCTCCCTGGGAGCCCCAAGGACCAGCAATGAGCAGAGGGCACAGGGGCACAAATGGGGGGAGAGGGAGGAGAGGGGCAGGAGACTCACAGGAAGAAAGCCAGGGCAGACCAGTCGGCATCTGCCCTTGCTTGCCACACCAGGTCAGTCTCTGCCTCTTGAGAGCTCTGAGGGACACCCCCAGCCCCTACCTCAGTCCCTCCCCCAGCTATTGCCCTTTTAAGCCAGGAAAAGCCCACAGATGCTGTCTCCAGGGAACAGGAGAGGGCCTGGGAGGGGCCAGTGGCCCATCCTATCCTGTCCTGTCCTCTCCCTTCCCCCATTCCCACAGGCGTATTCTTACACCTAAGCAAAGAAGAGGCCCCTAGGGATGGCCAAAAGAAGCTCCCCCACACCCCCATGAACATCTATCCTTCCCAGGCTTGGCACCAAGAGCACCTAAGTCCAACCTGCTTATCTGACAAATAAGGAAACTGAGACCCAAGAGAGAAAGGCACTGGCCCAAGGTCACTTGACACTGTGGAGTCAAGACTGGCACAGACTCCAAATAAGGGCCACTGCCACCCTGAGCCATGTCATCCCCACATGACAGAGGAGGCCCAGACACTGGGAGCTAATGATTGAGGCCACACAGCTCTGGGCTGGCTCCAGGGGGCAGAGGGTGGGGTCAGCCAGGACCCACCCACTAGCTGGGGCAAGGCCAAGGGAGGGACCGGCTGGGCACTATGAAATAACTATCAAATAACGGGAGGGACCAGGAAGAGAGAAGCCTTCAAGCGTCTGGCCCAGGTGGGGGTGGGGGGAGCACCTTCCACCTTCCCAGCAGGGACTCCATGGGCCAGACCCTCCCAAGAGACAGGGCTGGGCCCTCCCAGTTACATAATCCCAACCGAGTCCAGGGAGAGATACCAAGGACAAGACCCGGAGGGAGGGAGGAGAGACAGAGACAGAGACACAGAGAGATGGTGACACAGGAGGGAGGATGAGGAACACAGGCTTATGAGAAGAAAGATAAAGAAAAAGGAAAGAGGGAGAACGAAATGGAGAGGAAAGAAGGCAGAAAGATGGGCAGTAAGGCAAAGAGGGGAAACTGAGGCAGAGAGAGGGGGAGAGAGCCAGGGAGGGCCAGACACTCACACGCACACACACGCACACACACGCCCCTCCAAATCCTAAGATTCAGACTTTTTACAGAAGAGGAAGCTGAGGTGCAAAGATAGAAAGAAACAAGGGTCCCAAAAGCCCGGCTGGCTCAGGCAGGGCAGAACCTGCCTTGTGCCCACCAAGACCTCTGAGGCTGCCCCGGAAAGCAGATGAGAGCCCTGGACCACTCGGGGAAACTGAGGCCCAGTCAGCTCCCCAGGGCCTGGGCCTCACCTTGGTCCGGCCGTTGATGATGTAGCTGCCCAGGCGCCCAGCACAGTGTAGGATCACCTCGTCCACATGGGCCATCAGGGCCCCGATGCTCTCGCAGCCGGGCTCACGCCCCTCCACCCAGGCAATCTGGTCTCCTCGGATGCTACGTGAGGGGATGGCCCGCTGGCTCACAAGCTGTCCATCCCGAAAGCGCCCATCTCGGTTCAAGGCCTCTACCTCTGCCAGCACTCGGCTGCCCAAGGCCGCCCCAAGGAAGCCGTCTTTCACACAGATGCCATAGCATCGCATGCAGGGTACGATGTAGTCCACAGCCAGCCGCTCAGCAGCAGAGACCACGGCCTCCCTCTGCACCGGCGTCTCACTGCCCTCCTCTGCCCAGCGCCGCTTGCCGGGCGGGGTGTCGCCACCGCTCTCGGCCTGCTTCCGCTTGGGGGCTTCAGGCTGGGCCCCCCGGGCGGCCAGCAGTGGGCACTCCTTGGTGATCAGCACAGCAGCCCCCTCACTCTGTAAGGGTCGCAACTCCCCACCTCCCTGCCCACTGCGCCCCTCGGGCATGGGGCTGGCTGCAGCTGAGGGAATGCCGGCTCCTGGGGGCAGAGGGCCACCCCCACTGCTGCTGGGGCCAGCCAAAGCCTCGCAAGGACCAGACAGGTGGAAGGAGGGCTGTGAAGGACAGGACACATAGCTCTCCAAGCCCATCCTGGCAAGGCTGTGCCCAGGGGTGTCCACAGTGGGCAGCTGAGGGAGACTCCTGCTCAGGAGGTCGGATTGGCATGGGCTGTCCATGGCAGCGTTTTCATCCCCCAGGCACGGAGGACACTGCCCGAGCCCATGGTGCCAGCCTCCTCCTCCTCTCACTGCAGCTGGGGACAACAGTGGCAGAACCTGGCACAGGACTGAATGGGACTGGGCAGACAGCTCTTCTCATAGCCCGGGAAGCTGGGACATGATCCCGCGTTGTCCTTGGGCCTTTGTGAGGCAGCAGTGGGCCAAGGAGATGACCAACAGGGGCTAGAGAGAGAGACAGGGAGGTGTGAGATCCAAGCAGCCCGGCAGAAGGAAGCAGCTGGGGGGAGGGAAAAGCGGGGACAGTGAGGCAGAGGGGGCAGGGGGGAACTCAAGGCCCAAAGAGGAACGTGGGGGCTGATGGGAGAAGGGGACCCCGGGACCGTGAGGGGACAGAGGGGGGAAGAGGAAGCGGGACCCTGGATGGGGAGCAAGGGAGGGGCACTGGGAGGCCCAGGGGGGAGGGGAAGGAGAGGGTGAGAGAAGGAAGACCACTGGCAGCGAGAGGAAAGGGAGCTGAGGGAATGCTGGAGGAGGGCAGTAAAGGAGGGAGGTGATGGCGGATCCTCACAAGAGAAGGGGGAAGAGGGAGAGGGTCCTGAGGAAGAGAGTAAGCAGAACAGGACCCAGGCCCAGGAACGGGGAGAGAAACTGAGGCCTGGGCCACACAAGAATGGGGACGCAGAGGTGGAAAGGGAGGGGGCAGGACCCACCGAGAGGCTGACAGGGGAAGGAGGAGGAGAAGGAGGAGGAGGAGGGCCAGCAGGCACAGGGGAGGAGGGCTCCAGGGATGGAAGTGGGGCTGAGGAATCTGGGAAAGAAAACCGGGGAACCAAGAGAGCCCCCCAGAAGAGGGATGGAAGGAACTGGGGCCTGAGGGGCAGAAGGGAAAAGAGGAGGACTCAGGCCTGCCAAGGGGCAGAGACATGGGGCTCTTGGATTGGCAAGGAGAGAGGGCAAGCAGCCTGGGGGGCAAGAGGAGACAAAGTGCGTGCAGCATACGGGTGAGAGGAGGAAGGGGTTCCAGGAGGAAGAGGCTGGGGAGGGGAGAGGGGATCCAAGAATGGGAAGTTAGGAGGAGGTGGTAGGGCAAAGCTTGCAGAGTCCAGTACTGGGGAAGGGGGGTATGAGGGATTGCAGGGAGTCTGTGAGGTCAAGGCGCAGAAAGGGGCTGTGGGAGGTAAGGGAAGAGAGGAGAGGAGGTCCAGGAAAGAGAGGGGAAGAGGAGAGAAAGACTGGGGGCCGGTGGAGGAGAAGGAGCCTGAGGGGGATAAAGAGGAAGGGAGAAGGGAGACTGGGGGATGGAGAGGGGAGAAGAGGGAGTCTGGGGGATGGAGAGAGGAGGAGCCAGAAATAGGAGAGGTGAAGAAGGGGTCTGAGGTGAAGATAAAGGAAGAGAAGGGGGACCCAGAAGTGGGCAGGGAGGAGGAGGAGGAGAAGCCTGGGGGGTAGAGGAAAGAGAAGAGAAACCCAGAAAGGGTAGGGAGGGAGAAGGGTCCCGGAGTGCGGATGGGGAAGGGGAGTGAGAACGCAGAGGTGGGAGAGGGGGAGAGGAAGGGGTCTGGGGTGTGGATGGGGAAGGGGAGGGAGGACCCAGAGGTGGGAGAGGGGGAGAGGAAGGGGTCTGGGTGTGGATGGGGGAGGGGAGGGAGGACCCAGAGGTGGGAGAGGGGAAGAGGAAGGGGTCTGGGGTGTGGATGGGGGAGGAGAGGGAGGACCCAGAGGTGGGAGGGGACGAGGGGAGGGCGCCTTGGGGGTCAAGGGGAGAAGAGAAGGGGGAACCAGAACTGGGAGAAGGGGAGAGGAAGGGGGACCCTGAGCGGGGAGAGGGACGGGGAGGGGTGGGGGGTGGCGGGAGGACCCAGGGCAGTCCAGAGAGAGAGTTGGGCTGGGGAGACGGGCCAGGTGAGCGCCCCCCTCCCCCCAGCTCCCAGAACCCCGTCCCCACCCCCTCCCCGCCGGGCTGAGCCGACACAGCAGCGGTTGGGGGTGGGGAGCTGGGGGGAGCGGCGCGCGCCCCTCACCTCCCCCAACAGCTGCCCCGCCCGGTCCCGCGGGGGCCCCCCCGGCCCCCCGCCTCCGCACGGCTGGCCCCCGCCCCGAGCGCCCCCCTTCCCCCCCCACTCACGGGGGTTTTTCCTCCGGCCCCGGCGCCGCCGCCTGTGCCAGCCGCCCCGCGCAGCGCCGCGCGCCATCCCCCGCCCCCGGCCGCCCCCAGACCCCGCCCCGGGGCCCCGCCCCTGCACGTGACCGTGAGCAGCCTGCGGGGGAGGGGAGGAGAGGGAGGAGTGGGTGCGCGTGCGCAGGAGCGCAGGGGAGGGGGGGGGAGGGCAGGGCAAGGCAGGGCCTGGCCCGGGAGGGGAGGGAGCTGGAGACCCCTCCCCCACCCCAGGCTCCACCCCCAGGGACTCCTCTCCACCCTGTTTCTCGGTCACCCTCCACCCCTGGCCCCCAAGAACTCTCCCCACGTCTCCCTCTTCCTCTTGCTGCCTCTGCCCCCAGTGACTCCCTAGTGTCCCCTCCACCCACTGCCCCCCAGTGACCCCTCCCCACAGTAGCCCTCACCCCTCCCCCTTTTCCCCCATGTCTCTTCCAGTGTCCCCTTCACAGGGTCCCAGATTTCGAGCTGGAAGGAGCTCAGAAGTCAGGTCACCCAAAAGCCCCTAATTTTACAGATGAAGAGACTGAGGTTGAGAGAAGGGATTAGCCCAAAGTAGTGATGTGGCCACATTGGACCCTCCCCGTCCAGCGCTCACCCAGTGACCCCCCCTTCCAGGGAACCCCTCCTTCAGTGTCCCCCTTGTTCACTCCCTCCCTCCCTCGATCCTTCTGGCCCCTCTCCCCATTTTTAGACCCCAGGATCCCAGGTTCCTCCCTAAACCGCTCCCGGCCCCCAGCTCTGATTCTCCTTCCCACAGAGGACACTTCCCAGGAGAAGTGGGGGTGGGGGAGGAAGACCCCAGGGTCCGAGGGAATAGTCACCTCGGTCAAGAAGTCACCAAGCATTTATTTAGCCGGTGCGCTAAGACTGCAGACACAAGAAAGGCAAAATCGGGCTTCCTGCCCTCAGAGAGCTCATGTGCAAACAGCTCTGCCCTTGTAAGATTTGCATCTACAGAGAAATCCGAGGCAATCTCGGAGGGAGGGGGGACAGGATGCCAGCCTGCTATCCCTGGAAGGGGGATTTGCAGGACACTCTATAAATACCCCCTCCTGTGCCCTCCACTCACCCCCCTCCCTGGCAAGGCTATCCCACAGGGACAGGGACTGGGACGTGGGGTACGTGACCCAGGCAGCCTAGGGGGCAGGAGGGAGGCATACATTCCACACTCCTTCCCCACCCCCACCCCCAGAACAGGTGGAAGGGGGCTGGGAGCCTTCCAGGAACTGCCCAGGCCTGGATGCTTGGACAGTTGGGGCTGAGATGTGTTCTGGGAACCCCGGGCCTTGGGGAACCCCAGGGAGGGGAATAAGGATTACCACTTGCCCCTCTCTTCCCCATCCCCTTGGCCCAGACAGGGAATTCTGTCCTGAGCTGATGGGCCCTTTCTAGGACAAGGCAAGGTATTTGTCATGTGTATGAGGGAGGTAGTGGGGAGCTCTGCCCCCCCATATATGCCCTTTATCCCAGTCTCCGTTCTGGACCTCCAACCCTGCATGCTCAACCTTCTTTCCACCCTCTGGGTTCCTGTGACCTCTCCCCTGTCCCCCACAAGTCCCCAATCTAATCTCAACCCCACCCATCCATCCAACCCCCTCCCTTTCCCAGTCCCCATCCAAGGCCTGGGACCTTGCCCAGGCTCCTCCCTTCCAAGCCTCACCCCTGACCTTGGCCCCCACTCCACAGTCCTCAGACCTCACCCAGGCCAGGCCACCCCACCCCAGCCAGGACCTTTGGCCCTGTGTATTCACTTATGGGTAGTCCCCATGCCAGCCATTGGAGCCTGCCCACCCCCTAAATCCCTAAGTTATCATTCTAGAGTTCCCACCCCCTTTCCCAGAATTTCCCTGACCCCCTAAGAAAACTGAGACAGAGTTGGAAAAAAAAACATCATTTTATATATCAATATATATAGTGTGTGTGCGTGTATATGTGGAAACAGACTCAATGATGGTCCCCTCCCCACCTTAATGCCCCCCCAGTCTAATAAATACCATTTACAAGGGTCAGCAGGGCCCTGGGAGTTCTGGGAGGGTAGAGACTGGCAGGGGCTCAAGCCCCTGGTCCCAGAGTTTGGATAATGAAAAAGGTCATAAGGTTGGTGACAAGCCAGGTATAGCCACCCCAAGGCTCAGGGTTGTAGATGGGGGTGGGGGGAGCATTCCCCCTAGCTCCGCCCCCAATGGCTCAGACAAGGGTCCCTCCCAGTCCCCCCCCCCGGAGTACAGAAGGAGCCCACTCTGTGCTTAATGCCCCTCTCAGAGAAACTCGGGCAGGATGGGAGGGGGAGGGCTGTGGGCCAAACCAGGCAAAGAAAGGGAATAGAATGGGAAAAAGGTGTTGGATACGGCTGGTCCCCAGGTCCCCATTCCACAGCTTCTCTCTGGCGTCCCGGAGTGGAGGCGAATGTCCAACCCTCAAAGCCACAAGGGAGGGAGGAAAGTCAGCAGCCACACTGCTGTCTGCTCTGGGCCTGAGTACCCCGGGGCTGGCGAAGCTGGCGTAAGGAGGCGTCGCCATACTGGATGCCCGAACCCATCCTCTCTGGGTCCAGTTCACCTAGGGAAAAAGGGACAAGGGAGAGGGAAACAGGCATGGGATGTGACAGACCCAGAGAGAAAGGTCCACTGGGAGGCTGACTCTGACAGCAACACAGAGATGCACAGAGACAGGCACATGGACCGAGATAATGAGGGCCCTGTGTGCCTCCTCAGCCGTGCACCCCCTCCCCCGGCACCCCCCTCTGGCTGCCCATGGGACCTCACCCGAGTCAATCTTATTCAGGATGGTTCGGGCACACTTGAGAAAGGCTTCTTCTACATTCTCGCCTGTTAGGGCACTGGTCTCCAGGAACATCAGCTCTGCAGGAAGCAGGGGAGCCAGTTGATCTCCAGAGGGTCAGAGTGGGAGAGATGTCATCTACTCTCCCTTCCCTCAAACTCTGATATATTGAGTATTAGAGAGGGACAGAGTCCACAGGGCATTTAGACCAGGAATAGACCCCATTGAGCAACCTCTCAATACCAAATGTTGAACCCTAGAACAGTGTATCATAAGGTAGATGGAGCCCTCAGGGTGGCCCAGAACACAATGTCAGAAGTGGATAGAATCCTTGGAGCAGCATAAATGGGGTATCACAAGTGGACAGAGCTCTGGGGATATCCTAGAACACAACAGTACCATAAGTGGACAGAACCCTTGGATATCCTAGAACACAAGAGTGTCATAAGTGGATGGAACCCTTAGGGCATCCTTAGTTATGATAACAAAGTTATAAGTGGACAGTCTTTAGGATATCCCAGAACACAGAGCATCACAAGTCCGTGGAAGCCTTGGGGTATTCTACAACATAGTGTCACAAGCAGAACCCTCAGGGCATCCTTAGAACACAGAGTAGCATAAATGGACAGAACCCTTGAGGTATCCTTAGAACACATGTCACTAGTGGACAGAGCCCTTGGGGCATCCTTAGAACAGAGTTATCATAAGTGGACAGTCTTTGGGATATCCTAGAACACAGAGCATCACAAGTCCATGGAAGCTTTGAGGTATGCTAGAACACAATGTTACAAGTAGAACCCTTGGGGCATCCTTAGAACACAGTGTCACAAGTGCACAGAGCCCTTGGACATCCTTAGAACACAGAGTTATCATAAGAGGACAGTCTTTGGGATATTCCAGAACAGAGAGTACCACAAGTCCATGGAAGCCCTGGGGTATGCTGGAACACAGTGTCACAAGTAGAACCCTCGAGGCATCCTTAGAACACAGCCTGTCCTAAGTGGACAGAGCTCTTGGGATAACCTTGACACACAGCATGTCACCCAGCCATGGAGTTCTCTGGGAGCTCATGACATCTCCATGTCCCGGTGGCTGCTTCCTGCCCCCACCCACCCAGGTCTGACTGGGAGCTCACCATTCTCCTGGGCAAATCGGGAGGCCTCCAGGAAGGTGACCTCCCGCTCTGAGTCCAAGTCCTTCTTGTTCCCACACAGGATGACCACGATGTTGGGGCTGGCCAGTGTCCGTGCATCCGTGAGCCAGTTGGTCAGGGAATTGTAGGTTTCCCGACTGGGTAGCAGGAGGAGAGGCAGCAGCAGACTCAGTGGCTGTCCCCCCTCCCCGCTCGGCCCCCAGCCAGGCCCCCCAGTCACCCACCTGGTAATATCATAGACCAGCAGCGCTCCGGCCGCTCCCCGATAGTAACTTCTCGTCACTGACCTGCAAAAAGTGGCGGGTGGGTCCCCAGCCCGGTCACCCGAAGGTGCGGTCTCCAGCTCAGACCCCTGCCCCGCTCTTCCCCGCAGCCCCCGGACCCCCATACCTGAAGCGCTCCTGGCCGGCCGTGTCCCAGATCTGCAGTTTCACCGTCTTCCCCCCCACGTTGACCACCCTGGAGCCGAACTCCACGCCGATGGTGTGATTGGAATCCTGCTTGACTGGGAGGGGAGGGGGCGTCAGGGCCCGAGAGGGGACCGGAGCCCCGCCCCCACCCCAGGACACCACTTCCCCAGCCCAACCACGGAGCCGGGCCCCGCCCCCACGGACGCGGGTGGAGGGTCCTTACATTTGTTCTCGATAAACTGGTGGAGGAGGCATGACTTGCCGGTGCCGGCGCTGCCGATGACCAGGAACTTGAAAAGGAAATCTGCAGAGACAGAGGGAGAGATGGAGATGGAGATGGAGATGGCGGGACGCGCGGGGCCCAGAGAGGGCAGCGCCCAGCCCGGCGTCACACAGCAGCGCTGGGGGTAGGGGGAGCCCGGGGTCCCGCCCCGCCCCGCCCCGGGCCCGGGCCCGACCCCTCCTCACCGTACGTCTCGGCCATGTCTGGCCGCGGTGGCCGCTGCGGCTGCGGATCCGGCTCCGGCTCCGGCTCCGGTCCCCGCGCCTCCTCCTTCCGGCTCCGCGCCGCGGCCCCGGCCCCGCTGCGGCCTCAGAGGACACGCCCCCTCCTGGAGGGGGCGGAGCCGCGGCCCGGGCAAGTGATTGGCTCCGAGGCCGGCGCGGGGCGGGGAGGGTGGGGGACGACCCGTGGAAAGGGGCCGGAGAAAGTGGGCAGGGCCCTAATCTTGGCGCTTGATTAGTCCTGGCCAAGGAAGGGGGAAGGGGGGACGCCGTGGATTGGCAGAGCCAGCAAGAGAGGGTGGGCGACCGGAGTAGGGCGGGCCTTGGATGGGGAAAAGGGGGAATCTCGGCCCACGATTGGTCAGGAGGGAGAAGGAGGCGGGCTCTGGAGCAGGAGGCGGGACCGCTAAAGGGACGGGATTTCGAGCGCAGGAGGAGGGGCCTGCCACGGCCCGGGATGGACCAGGGATGAATTGAAGGGGTCGAGAGGACGGCCAGGGATCGGCGAAGAGGAAAGGACTCGGAAGCCGGAACCTGCGATTAGCCAAGAGGCATACGAAGGGGGCGAGGACAAGGCCGGGACTAGCCCAGAAAAAGCAGGAGACCAGGAGCGGCGACAAGAGCACAGAAAAGGGCAACACGATCGCCCCACCCCCGTGACGACTGATCCAGAATCATCACTGAACCCTGAGTGCAACCAAGAGAAGCGGCCTCTCACCTAGGGACTTTTCTGATTGGCTCGGTGATCCCCAAGAGGCTTCCTATTGAGTGATGGTGACCCTGTCTCGAAACCGGATTGGCCTGTTCTCATTGGGGCCCCGCCCACTTTGGCATCCATTGAGTCAGTTCTCCCAGCCCTAAATCTCTTCCTTCCTGGCTCCTCCCTCCCGATTGGCCTAGCCACACCCCCACCTTCTGATTGGTTTCTTTCCGATGCCCCGCCGGAAAAAGTCAAGAATAGCCGGGTCCCCGGAGCCCTCTGAAAGAGAAAGTCTACCTGGCAACTAGTGACGGTCACAAAGGCTGGCTCAGGGTGTCCCGCAACCCTGCACCTACACATGCTTACGCGCACACACAAAATCACCGCCACGGGTTCTCTGCTGCACACGGGTGTTATTGGCACAAAGCTAGGCAAGGGGCACAATGGAGAGGGTGGGAAGCAGACGTCCTGGGGCTCAGTGCTAGCTAGCATCTGCTTCTCCAGCAGGGGCAGCGGCAGCCTGGACTCACTGGCAGTAAAAGTCCCATTTCTGTAAAGAGAAACGTGGATGGGCAGAGAGGGCACAACCTGCTAGTGAGAACCCCGGGGACAGGGGGGAGGGGGGCTAGAGGAGATGCGGTGAGACGGAGAAAGTAGCAGTTTGGGGGAGAAGGAGGAAGGTCCCCAAAATGCCAGTCCTGTGCCAGGGAAACCGAAATATTTCTACAAAAATCTTAGGACCAGAGAATCGCAGGGCAGGCAGGTCTCAGAAGACATTAACTATAAAAATGTGAGCCTGAATAAAGGTTTTAGGATTATTTAATTCAACCCTTCCCAAATTTGCAGATGAGGATACAGAGCATCTCAGAGAGGTCATCTGTTCAGTCTGAGGTTCTCAGTCAATAGATGGGGAAACTGAGGCTCGAAGAAGAAAGCGGGGCTTGCTTGCCTCAGACCATTGACTATTAGGTGGTGGGTCAGGGCTCAGAAGGCAGATTTTGACCAACCAGGGGGCAGAAAGGGGGGAAAGGGCAGTGACACGGGCTGCTGGGCACTCACATCCGTTTTCACCTCCACCTTTCCTGGCTTCAGGACATGGTCCTCTCGAAGAATGCTGCTTGGGAAGTAGCCCAAATGGGCAGGCTGGGACCCGTAGTACTCCCCCTGAACCTGGTGTGTGAGTGTTGGGGAGGTGGTAAGCGACTGGCAAGCCAGAACTACCCCAGAACATCCCAACAGCCCTGGGAAATAAGCCCACAAGCAGAGGTGATTTGCCCAGAGCCACACAGCTAGTATCTGAGGCTGGGCTTGAACTCAGGCCTTCCAGACTCAGATCCACAGCTCTACTGACTGCCACCAAGATGCCTTTTTTTTTTAATAGGGGCTTCAGGATCCCTTTCCACCACATCCCTTTTCTCCCCACCCCCAACCCCCAGAAAACAGCATTCCTGGCATCCCTTCCCAATTCAGGGCCCCAGCCAAGACTCACACTGCCTCCCCAGAAGAGGCGACCTCGGCCCATCAGCTTAGAGTAGACAAAGACGACCTGGCCCTGTTGCACAGATAGAAAGCGGCAGTCTGGGGCTGAATAATCTTGCAGGGCAATGGCCTGAGAGATGGGGTCTGGGGCAGAAAGGATTAATGGGGATACTTAGGGCGCTGTTTCCTGAATGTACCTCCATTCCTGAGCATTCACAGGAAAGCCAAGTACTGCCCAAACCCAATCCTGGCACCATCCTGTAAGACCCCGAGGTAACACAGTTACCACACTGGTTCCCCTTTCCAGGATAACATAAGGCACCCTTCAGGCCCTTCCTGGCATAAAGTACTAGCTCGGTCCCTCTTTTCCTGGCCAAAAGGGACCCACCCTTTCCCCTCTAGCATCCAATGCCCACCACAGCCCATGCCCCAAAACCTCACAGCTGCATTCTTCATCCGCGCACAGCTTCCTGGATGCCAGTTTAGCCATTGGTCGCCCCCCAAAGCCTAGTTTGGGAAAGCTACTGAGAATAATGGTAGCAAGAAGCAGAGATGCGGGGGTCCAGATCATGGTGTGTGCGGGAGTTTGGTTCTGGGTGAGGTCTAAGAAATAGACTGAGCCTATGAGACCTCCCTTCTCACTTCACCTGGGGGTCTGCCTGTCAATTCTGTAGTTGCCATCCCCTCCCTGAGTCCTTTTCACCTTGTAAGCTGCCAACCTCTCACCAACCCAGGACGGTTCAGGTCTCACAGGGTCAAAGGAACTGCTGCAAACCTCTTTCTTGGGGAGCCAATCTAGAATCTCCTACCCTCCTGGAAATGCTTTAAAAAAACTGCCATTCTCAAAAGACGCCCCAGGACCTAGCCAGCCTCAAATCCCAACCTCAAATCTTGCCCTCCCGCTCTGCCTCCTGGCCCCACAACCAGAGAAGTCACAGGAGAGGAAGGCAGAGCCTGGAATCCTGCAGAGAATTTCCTGTGGGCAAGGGAAACAAGGAGGCTCTTGAGGAGAGTGAGTGGAGAAGAAGCCGCCTCTGAGCCTGCCCCATCCCCCGGCAACCTCCCTCCCTGCAGGGCTCCAAAGAGCATCCCAGTGCATGCAGACAGAATGACAGACATCCCAACCCTGGGGGAGATGGTAGTGAGGGGCTCCGGGTAGACCAACCCCATCATTTCAGAAAGAATAGCTAAAGGACAGAGGCTGTAAGTATAGAGAAGTGGAAAGCCCCTTGGAAGGCACCTGGCCCATAAGCCACATTTTACAGAGCTGAGCCTGGAAAGGCGAAGGACCCCCAAGGCCACTAAAGAGGAAACAGCACAGCTGACTCCAGCATTCCGAATACAGTTCTGTTTTTCCCAAACCACAAAGTACCTAGCTGCCTGGTCTACCATTTTGTAGAGGTGAAAAGAGACACAGTCAGAAGGAGAAAGACAAGGTCGAGTCACGAACTCTAATTAAAAATGGACTTCATTAGGGCCTTCCTCCAGTCTGCACCAGAGCAGGCAGCTGTCCTATAACATCCTTGACCAGTGGTCATCTAATTGATAACCTCCAATGACAGGGAACTTACTACCTCTACCCCTCAGGGGCAGCTGATTCCACTTTTGGACCCACTGAGCTGAAATCTACCTATTCCATCGTGTCTCGGTACTCCTACTTTCTGCACTGCACTGCAATGCCAAGCAGTTAACAATTATTAAGCGCTAAGTGCCAGGGACTGTAAGGGGAAAAAAAGGCTGGCGAGAGGGAGGAGTGAAAACAGCCTCAGCCTTTAAGGAGCTCATATTCCAATGAAGCTTGTCTCACAGGAAGTCAGTCAATCTCCCTCATTTCTGCTGCTACAAAGCCATCCTTTCTGCCCCACAATACCTGTGATCTTTTCAGCAACACTAGAAGCCCAAAAAACATTCAGTGGATCCCCACTGTCCACCTATCCCACCATGGCCCTTCACAGCTTAGGTTCTAGGAGAAACTTGCATCCCCTGGTTCTCATCCCAGCCTCTTCCATCTCCGTGGCTTTGTTCACTAAGTCTGGCATGACTGGCATGGAGATTTCTTCATGTCTGTTAAAGTCTTTCCATCGCTGTAAGGTTCAACAGATTGCACTTCCAACCTGAACACTTCTGGGATTCTCCCAGATAGAAGTAGATTTGGAATCCCCTCCAGCTCCCCCACGCAGGACCTCATACTCACTAGGAGGGTAAGGCCACCATCACCCAAGCAGTGAGCTTGATCCCAACAGCACTCAATAGTCTGGGAGTCCAATGCCTCACGTAGGAGAGGGTGGAGAGGGAGCCCTGCCCTGTCTGTCCTTTCTTAAGTCTCCTCAAACTTCCCCCTTCAATCATTCCCTCTTAGCTATCTCTCCCTACCCATTACTGACGATTCTACCTACAAACATGCCCAGGTCTCCTAACACATTTAAAAAATTCACTTAACCCTGACTCCAGCTGGGTTCCACTTTTCTCAGCAGGTTGACACTGTCAACCACCTTCTCCCTAACACTTGCTTTGCCTGATCCCAAAGCATGGGTGTGTTACTACCCCTGCCCCCTTCTCAGTTCCCTGCAATCTCAGGTGCTCAATGGGTTTGATCCCCAAAGCTGTATATATTCCCACCCCCATCTCTTTTACCCATGTGTCTTTCCCTCACGGGGGCCTGCATGCTTCCCATCACCATCTCCTCACAAAAGGTATTCCAAACTTGGCATGTTCAAAATAGAACTCACCTTTCCCCTAAAATCCTGTGCCTCTCTGGGAGTCACCACGTTCACCATTTTGGCTCCGGCTTTCCTCCTACTTCCCATGGCCAGCTCTCAAGAGTCGCTGCTGCTTTCCCCAACTCTCCCAACTCACATGGCCTCTGCCCAAGCTAAGGTCCCTAATTGTTTTCCATTCTCCTTCCACCACCACCCTTGACCCAACCCATCTTCCAGAGTTATCTTAATATCCCTAAATCTCAGGTTTGAACATGTCATTCCTGAGTAAAAACCTCGTCTCCACACCCAAAAGAAGAAATACAAATTCTGTTGTCTGGCACAAGCTCCTTCTTCCCATCCAGCCTACCACCATCCAGAAGGCTGTGTACTCGGGAGAAGGCCAGCCTTGAGCCTCGAATACCAGGACTGTCTTTGGTACTGCTGGGTATGGAATGCTGGACAAACATGAGTAACCCAGTTAGGCAATTAAGTTAGTACTGACCTTCCTCACTGGGAGTTACCAACAAAATCCCAGGTCTTGCCTTCCCTCAGGATTCCAGCCAAACTGGATCAGAATCCTCCCCCCCCCTCCCCTTTTTATTGGAGTCAATCAGGGTTCAGTGACTTGCCCAGGGTCACACAGCTAGGTGTTCTGAGCCATATCTGAACTCGGGTTCTCAGTGCTCTATCCACTGTGCCACCTAGCTGCCCTACCCATCCCTTTCCACAGGCCGCTCTCCAGGCTCCTAGTTTACGGAGACCAACGTCGTACAACCTGATTCCACACCTTGCTTTGAAATAACCGTGTTCTCTGAGAAGAGGAGAGAGCACAGCAGTGGGGGCTGATGAGACCACTGCTGAGGGCACATGGCCTAAGTCACTTGGGCATCCTAGAGAAGCCATCTGAGCAGGCTTTCCTCCTACAGCGTTTGATGTTTTCCTTGCATGCATGCTCAATCCCACATTTCACTCCCAAAGGGAAACACAAGCTTTGTCCCTCTGCTTCCTTCTCCCACCCTCAGCAGTACCTCACACCCAAAACTTAATGGGATGTCACTGTTCTTTTTCCCATGGCTGTCTGCACGTCATTCCTGCCATCAAAGGAGCACAAATTTAAGGCTAAAAACACCCTTCTTCGGTTGCTCAGTCATTCCAGTTGCATCTGACTCATGAATTCATTTGGGGTTTTCTTGCTGAGATACTAGAGTGGCTTGCCATTTCCTTCTTCAGCTCATTTTTCAGATGAGGAGACTGAAGCAAACAGGCTTAAGTGACCTGCCCTGGGTCACACAGCTGGTAAGTGTCTGAGGCCAGATTTGAACTCGGGATGAGTCTTTCTGATGCCAGGCATGGTGTTCTATGCATTATGGTGCCACCTAGCTGCCCCTGCCCCTGTTTTACAGAGGGGTTAACTGAGGCTCTGGAAGTCAAAGCACTTGCCAACACCCCCAACACCCAATTCATGTAGCACACGAAAGGACATGAGTCAAAGCCTCATGCCGACTCCAGATCCAGACTCGTATTGCAGCTCACAGCAGGAGAGAAAGAATGCATCTGCCGCCAATCCAGGACCTAGGCAATGGACAGGGGGCAGACAGCCACAAGGCGGAGATTCAGGGACCCCAGGAGTGAGACCTACTCCTGATGACAGCAGGGGAGCACCCACCAGGCAGATGCTACACAGTTCACACAGATTCTTGTGTAGGGAAAAATGTGAGTCTGCATGTACCCGTCACCTGGGTCCAAGGCCTCACACACTGGCTCAGGCTGACTCAGGCCTAGACTCTCCTGATGCCCATTTGGCCAGAAGGGTGCCTGGGGGCCACGGACTGACCCTATATACAAAGAGAAGCCTAGCACAGGGCCAAGGGGAGCAGAAGCAGGCCCTGGTTGTGCTGACTGGACAGAGCATTCCCCGCTCAGTGCCAGGCCTGTCCATCCACGTGCAGCAGCCCAGCCACAGCAGGTGCTGAAGCTCCTGCAGCACTGGGTGGATCTCAGAACTGGGCAGCCCCCAAAGTGGGAGGGGAGCGGGTCTCTTGTGTGCTTAGGTAAGAGAGTTGAGGACAACAGTGTTGTGAAAAAACTTTTATTTTCACCCCCAGCTCCAGGTGCAATGTCTGAAGGGCAGACTCTGGGTACAATGCTGAGGCACAGGCATGCTTATGCTACAGGCTGAGAGAAGGGAGCAGGGACTTACCTTCAGGGTACGACAGCCCCGAGAAGAGGAGCAGGGGGAAGGCCACCCTGGAAGGAGGGGGAGGACAGGGGAACAAACAGGGATGGGGCTATTTCTTGGCAAAAGAGATCTTCATGGCATTGTTCTGGGTGATCTTGAAGCCCTGCAGGGCATCACGGGCAGCCCCAGCCTGCACCTCGTTGTCAAACTCCACAAAAGCGATGTCGTGGCGCCCGGGCACCAAACGGACCTCCTTGAAGCCAGGGAACCTAGGAGGGGGAGATCAAGGGCTCTCAGCAAAGGTCCTAGAGAGGAGCTCAGACCCTCCCTCCCCACTTCTGACACAAGGGAAACTGAGGCCAAAGGGGAGAAGAAATGCAGCTAACAGAGCCGGGACTCAAACGCAAGGCTTCCACCTCCACCTGGAATCAGGGAGGTGACGACCACCAGAGCGCTAAAGGAATCCTACTCTCAGACGGCCAGAAATAGCAGGGACCGGAGGTCCACCCAGTCCGACTCCATTTCACTCAAAAGTGAAACAGGCCCAAGAGGTCCCGTGACCTGGCCATGAACTCCGAAGGCAGCCAGGAACCAGAGGGGAGGATGTCATGTGCTCTATGGCTGAGCCTGAAGGCCTCAGACTTAATGGGATCAAGAGGGCACCATGGCTCAGGGAGGGGAAGGGGATGTACTGTCCAGGGCAGAGCCAAAGCGAGCATCCAGCCCAGGCCCAGGGCCCAGCTGTGGCTGAGCAAGAAGAGGGGAAGGACAGCTCCAAGACCACCAGGTGGTGGGGAGCGGGGCAGCTGCTCCAGAGAAGGGGAGGATGGTCCACAGCGGCCATGCCCACGCACCCGAGTCTCCCTGTCCTGCCCAGACTTACTGATTGAAGAGCATAGACAGCATGAGCTCATTGGTCTCCTCAGGCAGGTTGGTGAGGAACAGGATGTGGTTGGGCGGGTTTTCAGACAGCTGTGAAGAAGAAAGAAGGAGCCAGCCATGAGGGCGAGA